GCCTTACTATTGAAAGAAAAAAAAAAACAAAAAGCCCCTAATGAATCTCTCACCTCCTGAAGTCCAAGAAGGAGAAGAACTAATTTGCCTGATGAGTGAGCAGCTTACTCTTGGAGAAGAAATTAGTTATCAGGGACCCAGGAACCCCCAAAGAACCTTCCTCTGAGGTCATCAGAACACCTAGATATTATTTCTTTAATCTGAATATTCGCACAACATTAAAAACCTGCCCAGATAAAGGGACACAGGGAAAGCAGGGAGGAGGAAGAACAGGAACAAGGGACAGGGAGAGACAAAAAGAGGAGAGATGTGGGGGACCAGGGGAAAGGAGGAGAGGCAGTGAGTGGAACCTGGCAAGCCCTCGAGCTTCACATTGACTACCGTGGAGACGCTCATGAAGCCATCTCTCTGCTTTCTGCATGTTCTCAGGAAAATGATCTTGGAAGGATTGATCTACAGCAGCAGGAAGCCCGATGAATAGTAGAAAATATATCTTTTTCCTTTCTTACTACTTTTAGAGGCAGCAACAAAAGTACAGTTTTACGCGTGACCTTTTTCAAAGAAAAAAAAAGGGAGGACTTACCTAAAAATGCAAAAGGTAGAAGCTGAATTGTGATCAGAGCAATGGGCTGATAAAAATAACGTGTGGTGGGAAATAGGGCCTGGACCCATGCCTTCCTGTGCAGGTGCCTAAGAAACTGAAAATGTCTGATCAAGAAGCAGTCCTGGGTTCTTTCTTTGGCACCAGGAATGACCAGTGGAAGCTGGGGGTAGAGAGAGGTGGTTCTTTCTTAGCACACTTGCTTTCATCTTAGTATATTTATTAGAACAGCCAAATGCTGTCAAGGCATAAAAAAGACAAACCACCATGCAATCAGGCTGCAAGTGTTATAAAATAAAATGCAGATCAGGAACTCCAACTCTTACAAACTGCCATTTATCAGAAAAGACCACAGGAGTCAAAAATGATATCCACGGTGAAGTCCTCAGAAAGAGAATACACAAGAGAGAAATTAGCTTTATTGTTAGGGTGATATGTTTAGGGATAATTGATTTGTGATCTCTAATAATTCACTCAATACCTCTATTTTAATTTTAGGTTAACAGTACCAGTGTATGTCCATCCTACGTTTGCTTAAAAGAATCTTTGCATTTACCAAAGGGGTGTTGCATGTGAAGTTGACAAACAGCGTATTGGCTAGGGCAGGCTGTGCAGAAGGAGCACTTATCTTTAGGTCCCACCTGTCCACATGACCCTCTAATATTACTAGTATGATAGTGCTTCTTCCAAGACGCAGCTGTCTTGGGACACATGATACATAGCGCTTTCGATGAGTAAATAAAATTCTGAGGGGTGGAGGTGGGCAGGGAGATAGTCCACACCTACAGACCCTGCAATTCAACCCTGCTATGTTTCAACATCACATCTTCTGCAGAATGAATTTGCTTATACTACAAAAATCAAACATACATCTTGACATGGGAAAGAACAGATGGTTTTATATCATGCTTCATGACTGCTTAAATTATCGGTTGCTCTATTACTTGTATGCAAACCAAATTTTTTGTTCCTAAAATTAATATTAGCAAAGAGATATTTTTCTGCCTCCTCCCTCAACCATTGCTGTCTGATGTCTAAATATGAATGCTGCTCATGGACTCTGATGAAATGGAGACAGCCGGAGTCCGTGAAAGCTGCACATGGCTAGGAAAGATCTGAAGTGAAACACCAGAGCCCCTGCTCCCTACTCACCACCTACATGGCCTCAGCTAAGGGTATTTCTTTTTCTAAGTCTCTGTGAGTTGAGACTAGTGAGAAACCTCTAGAGCTGAAGAGAGAACCAAATGATGTAACAGCGGCATCTAGCAAAGTGCCCTACAAAGTCATCATTTGGTGAATGTTAACTGAACCTGACTCTAAATCAGTGGGGTGGAAGAGAATACGGAATACATTAAACAAGACAAAACAAGATCACCAAGTAGGGCCATTTTCCGTCCGCAAAGCGATTCTGCTAGTTGAGGAACATTGTTGTGCCTACTAATACAGAGATTAATAGTAAAGTTCCTTATACGAGTTTTTCTCAACAATGAATCTTTTCAGTATCCCAGACTAACATCTACATGCAATAAATTAAACATAAATATTCTTTAAATCTATGTTTCCTTCCTTCCATGGATATATTATTTCTGAAAGCCCTATTTATAGGATAGTCCTTACATTCTGGTTTGCTTCCAGGTATTCACTAATTACTCTGGCAAATTCCTTTCTTTGAAGAGGAGAAAAATAGCCTTAAGCTGTATGAACTATGCCAATACCTTTAAAATGTTTAAAGGTGAAAGAGACAAGGGAACATATGATGTCTATATTTTAAAGTGTCTAAACGTCTGTATTCTTCCTTCAGGCTGGAGAGGAAGCACACATTTACTTTGAATCAACCATGAAAGATACAATGATAGTGCAGGGGCCAGGCACAGGGGCTCACGCCTGTAATTCTAGCACTCTGGGAGGCCGAGGGAGGTGGATCGCCTGAGCTTAGGAGTTTGAGACCAGCCTGCACCAGAAGGAGACCCGTCTCTAAAAGTAGCCAGGCATTGTGCTGGGCACCTGTAGTCCCAGCTACTCAGGAGACTCAGGCAAGAGGATCTTGTGAGCCCAAGAGTTTGAGGTTGCTGTGGGATATGATGCCATGGCACTCTACCCAGGGCAACAACAGCAAAAAATGATAATGTGGGGACTTGTGTAAACTGGCCAGGTGGAGCTGAACTTTCCCTATTCCTCAGCTGGCTCATTATGACTCTGCAGGTGGGGTTCTCACTGAGCTCATCATGAATAATCCAGATGAAGACAGCCCTATGGCAAGCAGCGTCTTGCTGACCCAGGACAAACTATGTTATGAGTATATTTGTGCTACTTTATGTGAAGTAGGGGGAAGCTGATTCTTGAGGACATATCTAGAAATATATATACTGCTATTTGTTTTCAAAGAATAAACAGGAGACTAGCAATAACTACACCTAAAACCAAAACCTGTTTTTTAACACAATAGCTAGGATAATTTAGTATGGAGGCTGGTACAAGGATCTGCACCCATTATCACTTCTGACTCAGGGAGGTAGGAGTGGATTTTCTGATGCCTCTGTGCTTCACTTTCCCTATCGGGAAAAGAAATGACTACACTTAATGTAATAAACTTTTGTTACTTGTTTCTAACCATCCCCAGTTTTCCCAAGACTGGTTACAGCCTGTACTTCTGGGGTTCGGCTTTGTGAAACAGGGCAGTCCTCTTTCAAGATGAGTTTCTGACCTCTGAAATCAAGTGCGTTCCAACTTACGTGACCTAACAGAGACAACAGAAAAATATAATTCCTCAGATGAAAAGGGTGACAAAATATTTCACATTATAGAAAAGTGATAAATTGTTTTTCATTATTATTTAATCACTTTCCAGAAAATCATTAGAAATGGCAAGCAATGCAGTTGTTGATACCGCATGACAGAGTTCTGAGCATAACTCATAAAAGGAGTAACTGAAGATTCGTTAACAACTGACTTCCTCAGTGAAATCTAAGTTTTAAAGATGGTTCAAACAAAATTATTTCCGAATCATCCAACTCGGCGGCTATTTCTTCCTTCTCCTACGTCTCAAGTTCACTTACCAGCTGTGTTTGTAATCAGAGCCCCTTCTGTTCCTTGGGAAATTTTATCCCAACAGTTGAAATTTCCCATCAATTAGAATTTATCTCTTTGTATCTTCAACCTCCATCTCTTCTGCTCCTTTTCCGTCTGCTAACATGTATCCTTTTATCACCCCATATTAATAAAAAAAGCCCCACGATCCCATTTTCCTCACGAGATAAAGATAAAACTATTTGTCCCTCTGCTCAGATATTCTTCTCAAAAGAGAGTAAGAGGCACGATAACCTAGGAGTCAAGAGTTGAACAGATCTGAGTTTGAACATGAAGTTCATTAGTTCCCCTGTCAGTAACGTAATATAGTAAATTAACTTGTGAAAATTACCATGCAGTCTGTGACACAGTGTCCTCATCTATAAAACAGGGAAAATAGTATTTCCAGTTAATAAGATTTCTATAAGGAGATAAGTCATGTCAAGTGTTTAATGAAGCATTAGACATATAACCAAACTCTCTAGTAAACTTTAGCTTTCACCATTATTATTATAACCTCATCTCCATTTCTTCACTGGCTGCTTTTTCCTTTCATTTATTTTTTTTTAAAATAATGTTAAGTAGCCTTGAATTTGACACATTAGATTTCTGCATCATCTTGTTAATCAGGACAGCCACCTGGTACCAGCAAGATTTAAAAATACTGCAGGGGCTTCATGGAAAAAACCTAGACAATTCTGTAAGTTTCTACCTCTGTACTTTAAGTTTTCCTCTCACCTCCCAAATGTCTGCTTTTTTGAGGTGAAAGATACCACTGGGCAGATTTACTTCTTATTTTACTAACTTTTTTTTTAATTTCAGGTTACTTTGAGAGTATAAAGATATTTGTATTTGTTAGGTAGAGTCCCTGTTATAATCGTGTCCCACCCCCCAGGAGGTGTGTCATACACCCTAACATTGTGCCCGTTCTGTGGGAGCACACCCCATCCTCTCCTTCCACCCATCTCCTCTCTCCCTCATTCCCCTGCCCCCCACCTTGAATTAATTTGAATTTTTCTCTTATGCAGCCATGGATTAGATCATCTACTAGCTTCACGTTGAATACATTGTATATTTGCTTCTCCATTCTTGTGATATTTTGGTAGGAAGAATGTGTTTCAACTCCATCCAGGTTAATACAAAAGATGTAAAGTCTTCATCTTTTTAGTGGCTGAATAGTATTCCACGGTGTACACATACCACAGCTTCTTATTCCACTCCTGGGTTGGTGGGCATTTAGGTTGCTTCCACATTTTGGCAATTGTAAACTGAACACTCTGTCTTTTCTCCTTGTATTGTTCCCAGCTCAACAATTCTAATCACTAAACCTAACTCTTCGCTCAAGACCTCTCATCAGCATTTGGCCTAGTCGTTCACCACCTCCTTTCTGAATGTCAATCCTTTGGCCTTCGTAGTTCTCTTCCAAGTGCTCTAAATTCTTCTCCATCTCTTGAATAGCTCTGTTTTCTTCTTCAATGGGGGCTTTGTGCCAATGATTCATTGATCCTCTCCCTCACTGGAGAGCAGGGCTGTGGAACACTTGGATCCAGAACCTAAGTGCTGATGGTATGTATTGGGGAGGGAGAACTTTGGACCACAGAGTTTTTACCACATTTTGCTTGACACCCAAAGGTGCAGTAATGGCCTAAAGGCGGTTGTAAAAGGTCAAGGACCTGGGTCTTCATCTATTCAATTCTGCATATTATTAAGCTTAGTCTTGGGCCATATTATAACTAAATACTGTAAAACAAGATTTAAATATGACAATACATTGGTCAAATATTTGATATGCATTTAAATGTTAGCTTTTTATAATCCCTTATTTAGATTAATTTTATACTACAGTAACCGGCAACATATTGTTACAAAGTAAATACTGTATATAGGTTATTTCTTGAATCTGCACAATAATCTGCCATCCCAAGGCAGCACCTGTGGCTCAGTGGGCAGGGCACCCACCCCATATACTGAGAGTGGTAGGTTCAAACCCAGCCCCAGCCAAATTGCAACAAAAAAATAGCCAGGCATTGTGGAGGGTGCCTGTAGTCCCAGCTACTCGGGAGGCTGAGGCAAGGGAATCGCCTAGAGCCCAGGAGTTGGAGGTTGTTGTGTGAGCTGTGTGACACCATGGCATTTTACCATGAGTGATAAAGTGAAACTCTGTCTCTATAAATAAATAAATAAATAAATAAATAAATGTTCTGCCATTACAAATGCTTCTCAAATCACCCATCCATTTCTGTTATTTTCCAGTGCTCTCTATAATGTTATTCCTTCTTTATATCTTCTTACAGGCTTGATTATTCTCTCCCTGAGGCTCCTTAGAATCAGAACATGAGAAAACGTCACATCTGAGGAAGTCTGGGAATGAAATCCGAGTCATTTCCAAAGCAGGCATGGAGCTCCATTAACGTGGGTGATCTGCTGCTTTACTCTGTGAAAAACGAGGTGTGATGCATCTTGTCAAGTGATGAGAGTAATTTTTTCAGCCTTTGTTCAAATGTGTCTTCTGAATTAATCTTGATCATGATACAATTAACTAATTAACTAAGATCTCCTTCCTTCATGGTCTGTCTTGTGAACTATTCCTCTCTGAAACCTCTAATAAGGGGTAATGCCCTTGTGAAATTTTCCTTCAGAGCAAGGACTATGCCTTTTTCATCTTGGAAGCCCAGTGTTATTCATGAGGTTGACACTTAATAAATGCTTGATGTCCCAGGCAGAGGCAGGGAAATATGCTACAGGGATCCTGAAAAAACCTGCGTTTGCTGTCATAAAAGTTAGTGATCCACTCAGAGTCAGACTCGGGGATGTAGTGAGCCAATGAACACACACAAGTTACCTCCCCGTCCTCTTTCTTCATAGCAATTTGCCAGAGTAAAAGCTCTTTTCTGTCCCTTCCTTCTCTCCAGACAGACCTCTGTGCTCTGGGATTTGGAAGTGGACTTGCAACACTGATTACTAGGTAAAGAGAAAGATAGAGTCTGTATTTTTTACTTCTCATTGTCTCATTTAATCCTTTATGCCACCAAGAGGGGTAAGTAGATCGGATATAACCACATTTCATAAACACAGAAATCTAAAGCTTAAAAAGGTCAGGAGAATTCTATAAGAATTATTGATGATGATAATAATTATTGTTAATAATCTTAATCCATAAGATTATTCTGATAATCGCTGGAAAATGATTGGTAGTCAGGGCTTCCAATTCACATCCAATCAAATGAAATTCCCACTCTCATAGATTTTTAGAGTATTACACTACATAGTATAATATGTCATAGTACTCTATTATAATGAGTACTATGTAACAATGTCACACCCTATAGAGTGTAGCAATACCAGTTATGTTTTCATTTTGCAAATGTAAAGGTACTTTCATATACATTGTCTACTCTCGCTATGGGAATAAATCACCAGAATTCTAAGCCACCAACTCTACCAGTTAGGAGGCAATCTTTCTAATAAGTAGACACACTTACCTGATATATTCATTCTGCATCTCAGCAATTGCTTTATAGTTTTCCCCATATTTTAGATGGACTTGTTTTACTCAAATAAATGTATTTGTATCCAAACTCTACAGGACTGGTTTGATCCTCTAGGTGAGGAATCTCAGTGGTTCGTTGTGTTCTGATTTGAAACGAACCAAATGACTTTTAAAGTGAAAGCTCTTTTTTTAAAAAACCATGAACTTCTTCAGTTGACTCTAACTCCCTTAAGGGCTGAGAAATATCTTATGTATCAGCATGCTTAGCTGGCACACGCTGCATATTCAATAATGTTGAGTGAATGACTTTTGTCATCTTCTATAGAGATTCACACTCTACCAGATGAACCAGTCAACTACCTAAGCAACTTCTAAGCTTGGAGTTTTACCACTACCTATAATCCTAGAGCACAAATACTTTTAATAAAGAAAAGCCAAGAGAGATATAATAGCAGAGAGATACAATGGGGAACATCAAATCAGAACACTAAGAAAGGTTTAATCTCTCATAAAGATCATGGCTGCATGTACTCTTCGGCCTGACTTTGAATAGAGAATGTGTAGTTTGTCTAAAGCCACCGGCTTCTGAGGGAAGTGGCCATCCAATAAAGAGGGCTGGGAAAAGGAGACAGACACTGCGGCAGTCAATGTGCTCTGAGATTGACGTGCATTTCTCACCTGGGATGATTTAGGCAGTTTTAGTTGGTGTGTTACCTCTTACTTTGCAAGAGGGAAAATGACATTTTCATGAGTTGTGTTCGAGCCTATTTGTGCCTAATCTTTATAGAAGTCAGTACTGAAAAGGAAGCTTGGGCCTCCACCACAATAGTTCAAAATCTGTGAAAATCAGGTGGCACCTGTGGCTCAGTGGGTAGGGTGCAGTCCCCATATACTGAGGGTGGTAGGTTTGAACCCGGCCCCGTCCAAACTGCAACAACAACCAAAAAATACCAAGGGTGATAAAGTGAGACTGTCTCTAAAAAAAAAAAAAAAGGAAGAAAGAATATCTGTGACAATGAACAAAGGCATATGTCTTTTTCACATGAGAAATTCCTCCAAGGAACAGGAAGAAACAATCTCTTATTTCCTCAACAAGGAAGCTTAATGAAGATACTGGTTCTCTGGAATCTGTCCTTTGCAGATGAGAACAGCTACTTGGGAGGCAAAGAAAATTCCAAGGTGTAGCCAGATCTAGGTTCTGCCTCTATTCATTATGTGGCCAGTAAAGGGTTAACAGCCTCCTCTCTGGCTTATTATTTCCATCAAAAATGACCTAGTCTTTCCTCCCACCCCAAAGAGAGAAACTCTTTCCAACTAGTTATGAGTCCAGAGCTGTTTTCCAAGCAATCCTTGCCTGGCTGGAAAAGTTACCTTATACTAGAGACCACTTCTTTATTGTGCAAATAAAGGCTGAGCTATTTCTAAGGCCCTGCCTCAGCAGAATAGCAAACTCTGTTAAGCCTAGTGTGGGAGGTCATGGGAGTAAATACAATTTATCCATGTTTATTTCTTCATTGGAGAAATGAATTGGCCTACTTTATATAGCTACCTCTCCCAGTCCAATCAGGTCTAATATATTCACAGCCAAGTTGCAGAATATTCTCTTGCCATTGCCTTTGAATTATCTTTTTCATTTAAGGCTTAAGTAATCATATCAAATGGATATCTAGGACCAAGAAATATATCAAGATAGAGTTAAATCTGGCTGACATGGCCATTCATTGCCATTCATTCATTGATTTATTCAAACATATTACTGAGTGTCTACTAAAGGTTATTCCTGGCACTGTGCTAGCCACTAGAGACAAAGAAATCAAAGATGTGGTCTCTACCTTCAAGCTACTCCAGCCTAATAGGAGGTGCTATGATGTAGTGGCCAAAACCACAGACCTAGAATCACTCACATCAGTGCTCTAATCCTAACCCTGCCTCTTACTAACTATAGTACATAAATGTGTAGGAATCCTCTCTGAAGTTAATTTTGTACATCTATAAAATGGGAATAATAATCCTACTTCACTGTGAGAATTAATGACATAAATATAGTACCTGTAACATGGTAAGCACTCAGTGGATAACATCTCTATTACCATTATCATCATCATCTTGGGGACAGCCATGTAATTAACAATTACAATACTATGTATGATTTATGAGAATGAGAGAAGATACTGGAAGAACATAGTCTGGAACGGTGATGAGGAAGAAGTTTACAACCCAATGTCAACCTGAGCCCAGAAAGATAAGTAGCAGGAAGTCAGACATGGGGAGGGCATTCTAGGAAGACAGAATAATAGCATGTCCAGAAGCCCAGGGGCAAAAAAGGAAAAAAAAAAAAAAGTAGGCATTTACAGGAAATTGCAACCACTTGGATCTTGGGACATATGGGCAGGAAAGCTAGTGAGGAAGGGAGGGGCCACACTGTCATCCAGGCAGTGGCCACAGGGCCCTGCACTGTCATACTTCCTCTACTACCCTTCCCATAAAAGAAACCAGACAATCCCATGGCCCACAGGTGCCATCTCCCTCAGTCTTAGGCTTTATAGTTAGAGATATAGGCTGTTTCTTTCCATTTTCCATTTCCCCTCATGCCAGCCACTGTGGGTGTTATAAGGTTAAAGCAGGGCTCTCATGCAATCTTCAGGAGTTTCCCCTGAGAAAATGACCCACCCACCAACCAGACCAGGATATAGGTCCATTCAATTCCAGAGAGTGCTCTATCAGGTAGGAGGAAGTCCTTATGTCTAGTGTAGCTTAAGGAGGAAAAGAAGTAACATCTAGTGTTTAGTGCAGAAACCATTTCTATGACCAGAGTCTGTTTTTCTCACTGATGGCTTTGACCTAGATGCAGCTTAGAAGGAGAAGCTTTTGACTTGCTGCTGTGTCCTGTAGGCAATTTCAGTCAAATCAGGTCAACAGGCACTAATTAAGCATGTGCCTCATGTCTAAGACTCTGCCAGGCACTGTATAGAAAGACTACAGCAATGTGCTGAGATTCAGAGATCACTATA